CACACCTGTAAAGAAAATGCGGTTGTCAATCCCAAAAATTGACAGTGTGAACGTAGCCTATGCATTATAACAAATACCTGCAGAGGGTGCCAAGGGCCTGGTGATGTTTCACTTTGCAGCGGGATTAAACGATATTTAAATCCATTTAATTTTAAAGGGGTCATGATGCTGCTAAAAAATAACATTATTTTGTGTATCTGACTTCCATCACCTCCATCCAGAGAAACCTGCACCAAGAGGGCGTGGCCGTCCTCGTCGCCAGCCTTGTCAGGTCCCAGCACGATCACAATCACCTGAATACTAATTCCCCGCACCTGTCACCAAGCAATTAAGACCAGTATGAAGCCACCTTCACTCCTCACCAACCTTTGTCTGGTCTTGAAGTCAATTCAAGAGACTCACCTGATTACCCATTTGCGGAATACTTACTAGTTGATCCGGATCATCTTCGTCTTCTGTGGAACTCTCGCTGACCTTCCTGCAAAAGAAGAAAGATCTCCTGTTAACTCATCAAGCTAAGTTGATTCATCTCACCAGCTAATGTGCTACTCACCTGCCGATTCTCTGCTCCTCTACTTTCTTGAGATTAATCAATAAATATCTCTTCACTTACCATTCTCACCTTGTGGTCTCCTTCTGTTCTGTGACAAAAGTAGAATTTATGAGAAAGTCAAGTTTCAATTGTGACATGTAAAACCACAATTGCAAGATATGAACTCAGAATGGCAAGATACAATCACACTGCAAAATGTATTATTACAATATTGATATTGTGAGATACAAATACTAGATATAAGTCGCACTAAAGTCACAATTCCAATAAATAAAATAATCTTAATAATATAGTCTAATTATAATTATATTATATAGAACAATAAAATAGTAAGATATGAAGTAGCAATAGTGTTTTTTTGTTTTTTTTTGTGGAAACAAGACTTTCATGGAAAAATGTTCTGTCTGTTGTGGTCAGAAATTTGGGCCCAAGTATTTGACAAAAGACCAAAATCAAATAGCTTGGAAATTTTCAGAAAAGAAAAATCTCAAGAAGCATTAATAAAAATTGTCACCTAGATTTACACTACATAATTTATGCTGATTTAAAGTTAAACTAATACACAAAAACAAACAAGCAAACAAAAGGATGATCTATTGACCTAAATGACAGAAAACCAAGGTGGTCCAGAGATGTTTTTGGCAGAAGGAATACAGATTAAAACACTTGTACATGTACTCGTGGATAAAAGGAGAGAGGGGGAAAAAAAAACCTTTTTGAGCTCGACTTTCATTACACGCAGTCTGTTCACTGTCAAAACACTAAATCAGCAGTCTTCAATTAGCCACAGGCAAATCTGAAGCTAACATGCAACCAGCCTGTCCTTTCCTGTTATATTTACATTGTGCCTTTTGTTAAAGCCTTTCACCACACTGTAATAGACAGAGCAAACTTCGCAGCTGCTGCTTAAATCCTATTGCTCAAACCTGGTTTGTCTCCATACACCTGAAATCAGGGTCTACAATAGTTATCCATTTAGGAAGTCAAAGACATGGCTCATATCAGGATTACACGTCCACTGGAGCAATACTGGACTTAATAGGGATTTAACTAAGGGATAGTACACACATGCTTGCCAAAGATTACGAAGCAATTTCTGATGTGCTTTCAGTATTTCCATGGCATGGCATGTTTAAATAAAGTCAGGACTCATTTGAGAGGGTTATTGTGAGTCAGTGTGGTCTTCTGTATGATCCTACCGATCAGTCACATCTAGTGACAGCGTAGTGTTTAATTAATTATACTTAGACTGTGCCTCTAAAAGTTAGTTGAACAAACAGAATTTGACTGAGTAAATATTAATTGACTGTAAATTATAATCAAAACACCCATGACTGTTTTCCAGGGCATTCGAGAGAGTTCTGTCTTGTCCCATTTATTTCAGATTGATCCGTCTTAATCCTATTAGCAGACACTCAGCTGCAATGCTTACTAAGAGGTTTACAAGGGTCCCCTGTCAGATTGCCTCCTGCTCGATTCTTTTCAAACACCCTGACCTGTGTCATAAACCTAGCTGCTCTATTCTTTTGTGCTGAAATTTTATCGCAGATGTCATTCAGATCCTGAGCAGAAAAGTCTCTGTAATAATCCTGACCTTGAATTGTCAGTTGTATGGACAGTTTTGGAAAAGACCAGCTCTGAAAATGGCAGCGAATCAACTAGAGGACGTGGTTCAAAGATGGGTAAGGAAACTAAAGGAAATTAAGTGTCATATTTGGTTGCAATTTGTTTTTTTTACTACAATATGTTTTTGTTATAAATGCTGTGTTTGTATTTACATCAAGTTAAGCATACATATATGTGTAATTTGTTAAGCATTATGATAATGACTGTAAAAGGCATAATGACAAGGTAATATGCTGTGAATGGTTTGTACATTGTACAAGATTTACAGTATGATCTTTTTTTGTGAATAAAATATTTGACAATGATTCTGTCCACGTTTTCAGAGAACAACTGAAGATTTTAAACCAGAGGACCATGAGCTCTTTCTGAATGCTGGTCATACATGCATTGCCCAAGGTGATTACACTCAACTCCTGGACTTCATAAAAGAGGAGGCCAATCAGGTAAATCTGGAATAATTGACATATGCTTTTAAAACCTGTTTTAGATCTTACTGTATTGGAAATTATTGCAAAATATTTCTCATCATTTTTTTTTTAATTTAAATCTTTAAGGACATTTTAACATATAACATACCACTGCAAAGAAGGTACCTCACTATAAAACCTAACAAACGTCCTAATCAACATGTTTTAGTTGACTTTACTTAATGTACAACAATTTATTTATTTTAAATGTAAAAATGCAGTAATCTGTGCTAATTTGTGTACTATGCCTTTGTTACTACGTAATTCAAATAAATTGATTTGTTTGAGTACCATTATGTCAAGACAGTTTCTAGTTCCCAGCATGCTTTGCTTCAGACTTTATGAATAAAGAGATTCCTAAAGGAATTGAAATTAAGTTATTTTACAACCCCAATTCCAAAAAAGTTGGGACATTTTATAAAATACAATAAAATTAAGAATCTGTGATTTGGTTATTCGTTTGAACCTTTATTTAACTGACAAAAGTAAAAAGATTTCCAATGTTATCACTGACCAACTTATTTGTATTTTGTTAATAATTGGGAGAGCACAGAGCACACTCCAAAAAAGTTGGGACAGAGGCATGTTTAACACACTGTCACATTAACCGTCCTTTTAATTACAATGTTTAATCATTTGAGAATTGAGGATACTAATTGTTAAAGTTTCGCATGCAAACTTTTTGTCCATCTTGCTTGATACAAGACTTCAGCTGCTCATCAGTCCGTAGTTGTTACTGTCTGATTTTCCTCTTCATGATGGGCCCTACATTTTCAATTGGAGACAGATCTGATTGCCAGTCAGTCACATCCACGTGTCTATGAAACCACACTGTTGTAGCACATGCAGAATGAGACCCGGAATTGTCTTGATCTAATAACCATGTACTTACCATGAAAGACGCCATCTTGATGGCAGTATTTGTCTCTGTACAATCCCAATATATGCCTCCATGTCAATGCTACCATTGCATATATTCCAGTCACCCATGCTGTTTGCATTGATGCACCCCCATACCATGACAAGCGTTTTGCATCTGTTGCTGGTGAAAGTCTAGATAGTCCCTTTGGACTTTGGGACTGCAAATTTAATGTCCGTTTAACAAGCTGCAACGTGGACTCATCTGACCACAGCACACATTTCCACTGTCTATTTGACTATATGAGATGAGCTCTGGCCCAGAGAACTCGGCGGCATCACTACATTGATGCATAGCTTTCTCCTAGAGGGTCGCACTTTATATTAGGCCTTAACTACTATGTACTTACATTTAAATTAATCATTTGGTACAATGCACTTATTGTGTACATACATGCTTTTACATTGTACTTATATTTTAAAAATACCTGCATGTAATTACATCTGTAATTAATTTCTGTAATCACATTTATAATTACACTGTTGACCCATCCCTTACACCTTAACCCACCCTAAAACCTACCCATACCACCAAACCTGTCCCTAACCTTACCCTTATCCCACCTCAATAGCAGCAAATATAAATATATTATATTAATATAAAGTGGGACCTCCTAGAGTAACAGATATTCAAGTTGCATTTCTTGATGCAGCGGCAGACTGTGGTAAATGACAGCGGTTTTCTGAAGTACTTCTGAGCAAATGTGGCTATTTAACACTGCAGCATGATGGTTTCTTATGCAATGCCATCTGAGGGCTCAAAGGTCATGCACATTTACCTGAGGTTTCCTGCTTTGCCCTACATGTACTGAGATTTCTCTGGATTCCCTGAATCTTTTACAATATTATGTATGGTAGTTGGTGAAAGACCTAAATTCTTTGCGATTTTGCTTTGAGAAATTTGATTTTTGATTTGTTTGACACTTACCTCATGAAATTTGGAACGGAGTGGCTTTGCTGGCAAAGACTGAAATGCTCCTTTTTATACACAAACATGATCCCCTCACCTATTACCAATCAACCGGTTTATTTTGGACTGTTTCAAAACAGTTGAACTTGGATATTCTGTAACCTTTTCACTTTTATTTTGCCTCTGTCCTTACATTTTTTGGAGTGTGTTGCAGCCATCAACATCAAAATTTGTTTATATTTACAAAATACATTTAAGCAGATCAGTGAAAACATTGGAAATCTTTTCTTTGTACTTTTGTCAATTAAATAAAAGGAAATTGGAATTAACAAATCACAGATTCCTGATTTTGCTACGTTTTACAAAATGTCTCAACGTTTTTGGAATTGGGGTTGTATGTGCTTTCGTACAAGATTAAGACAGGGGAGATCTGTTAATGTTTAATGTTTTGCTATTTTTGGTTTTAAAAATGTTTCTGTTATGTCTGCATTTTTGGGGAAGTTACCATTGTGCTGAAGAGTAGAGTCTGCAGGTTAGGTCAAAGATGGGTCTTCTTCCATGTAAAAACTATATAATGCTTTATTTAAAAACCAGTAACTGCAGCTGTTGATGCAGTGGTAGTCGCTCTGATGGTTATGTTAGCACGTGCATGAGTGCTATTGCTGGACAGGTGAAGCACTTAAATAATTACAGTAACACTTGGTAAAACTTTAAGACAATCAGTTTGCATGATTTTAACAAATAAATCAGATCGCTGTTCAAGTAAATACAACTGAAAAATGCCAAGTTGCAATAAATGTTACATTAGTTAGCTCAACTTAAAGGAGTTGTTTGGTATACAACTAGTATATTTAACTTAAAACGAATTAGTTGCTGTAACTAAAAAAGTGCTTTTTACTAAAGTAAGGTTAGCTTATTCGATTTTACAGTGTGTTTCTGGTTTCTGAGAGACAGACAGGTGCGACAACATCCAGACTCCTATCCCATCCCAGGCTCATATTTGTGACAACAATCCACTGGGATTGGTAGAATTTGATGGGCTGTACCTCTGCTAAACCAGCACTTTGTCATTCTGCCTAACTGACTGGCCCCCTTGACCCTTGGGTGTGGGAATGCAGTTTAGCGGAGAACCAGTCAGATTTCTTGCTCCACTGGAAGCCCTCTTAGGAGCAGCACTCCATTAAATGCTGTTGATTTACCAATTTCTTGCACTACTCCACTCTTCCACACATGTAGCACACACTAAGGAACATGCCATAGCATGTTTTATAGCAGAGCTTAAATGCACCAACTACACACTATATTTTCAAATTACTGATTTCAAAATACACAGCCAGTGTCCATCAAATGCTAAATGGTTATCATGTTGATTGTGAATTTTTTAATTTCAAGCATGTGCAGAAGACAGGTCTACATTAAAAAAAAAATGTAGGCCAACATGTATTAAATAATGGATTTACGACACACTTTTATAAATATTATGTACAGTACAGTAAAAATGTCAAATGTACCATTAAATGTAAAAAAAAAAAAAAAAAAGTAAATGTATAAATGTCTTCCCAGCACATAGTGAATTGGCTACAAGTTTGTTTTGCGATTCGGCCCGAATCAGTTTTCTAAAGCGTTTTTGAATAATCACATACCCTGCCTTTAATACACACAGCTGCTGCGTTTACAGCGGTAACCAATGAAACACTGTATTACTGTTCCATAAGCGCCGCCTGCTGTCAGAGAGTGAATCTGCATCTCATTCAGCCCAC